CGGAGGGACGGTGGCGGTCGGAAGGAGCGCTGGTTGCTCCAGGTGGAAAGTTGCCGCGCTGTACGGTCGCAGCTTACTGTAACGGAGAACGCACAGGCGTTATGCTTGAAACTGTTGCACACCCGTGTGTGCCTGGTTAAACGAGGCTGTTTTCCCGTCTTTCCACAGGGACAGGCGTTTTCTGTAACTGTTGCACAGATGGTTACCGGGGCAGCGAACAGTTTAGGACCAACTTCGAAACAAGCTGCTAAGCAAATAGAGGCCCTTTTACAAAACCCAGGATCAAGGAAAACGATACTGTCATCTGTAATGGCAGTATCTTCATCTCCAATGCTCTAAAATATGTATGCTCATGTTTGATGTTAGTTGTTTTGCAGGGTTGTAAATGGGCTAGGTGTTCTCTGTGCTCAGAATAAGAAAGCTGGGTAAAGGAAGTGCCTTTCAGTCTTTGCTTCTGCAACTGTCTTGTCTGTACATGTATTTAAAAAAAAGATTTTAGTGCTATACTATTGCACCATAAATATTCCAGGTTCATTTAGAAGCAAGTGAGTATTTGTGAGATACATTACACATACCTCCTTCTGTACCAGCAACAGAGTACATGTGATATTTTAAAACGTAAAAGCAGAACACAGACATTAAGCAGTGTTTTCTAAAGGAAAAATAAAAGAGGATGTAACAGATACCACATCAGGAGGTTTCAAAGTACAGCTGAACTGTCCATGCATTTTGAATCAAGTAGAAGATGACCTGCTGGTGACTGGCTCATGATTCCTGACCAAGCATGGAACTACAGCTACTAGTATCAATTTATTCACAACTTTTTAAACAAAGTTTCTAAACAATTACCTTGTGTAAATATTTACATAGCATGTCCTTCATAATTCACCTGGTCACTGTTGATTTTCCTGCAGATGAGAGAAAATGTTCTTCCTATTTAAATAAAATCCTCTCTCGAGTTAAAAAAAGACTGTTAAGTTACAATTGTATATCCCATCCCATGACTTTGTGGATGCTAAAGGAAGAAAAGCAGCATAACATAATGTTAACACGCCTTTTTGTAAGAGTTTTGTTATGGTGGGTAACTTCATGTCCTAGACCTACCAGTTAATTCTGCCAAACTGCTTTTTGGATTCTGATCCTAGACAGGATGAAGCTACCTCTCAACTTTGCAATGCACTCACCTCTTCCACTTGTTATGCTGGCGTTCCACCACTGGTTTCATGATCCTTATGTTTCTGTGGTGAGGGTCCTCCCTCTATCCATTCCTGATTGCCTCCCATGGTAAAAAGACTGGCTGGTTGTGAGGACAGAGGGATATAAAATACTTCGATTTTCATTATGCCCTTGACACCTGCAGCTCCCATGTGCTTTGGCCACATTGACTATTGCTTACTTATGGTTAGAAGTAGATCAAGTCAGATGTGCTGTTGGCCAGATGCAAGATGGACAGCAACCAAGAGCAGGGTCCTTGGGAGATCTTGGCCTCCATACATGAGTCTCTCAGGCTTTTTCCTCCCTGCTTTGCCATTCTCTTGGTTTTACAGCCTCTACTGCACCCAGCGGGAGGCTGGCAACGATAGAGGAATGTACTGGATCTGTCAGGGAGGGAAGGGATGGCCGCCAGCAGCAGGGTGGCTATGTGGGTCTCGGAGCAAGCTGCTGCCTTTCTGTGTTGCTGGAGAGAAGGTGCAACGCTGCAGTCACTACATGTGCTGTGTCCACACATGCCTCACCTTCTTAATATGACCAGCATCAGTATTGATAGCCATGCACATGCTCACCCCTTGTGTAGTGTGACACGTGTTTCATAACTGTGCAGTTACAATATAGTCAAGGGATGGACACAAAGATGGCCATAGGGCAGGGGGCAGCTCGTGGAGGTCTGGGAAGAGACAGAGATGGGGCAGGGCACACTGCCTGGTCCTGTCCCAGGGGCACAAGCAGCCCCTTTTGGCTTTAGCATCCCCAGTGGGAGTTGCCGTCTCATGTGCTGCTGCTCCTTGTGCCTTCCCCCTGGCACATCCTGCTCCATGTCACTGCTTCCTATGAAATGTGTCCTGGGCATGGGGGAACAGGGAAGAGGTTGCAACATACTTGTCCCCTGTGTGGGCACAGCAAATCAGATCATCACTTTTTAGAAAACCATTGCACAAATGAGGCCAGGAGCAGCTACACACACTCACTCTGACCTTCCCTCATTGCAGTCTCTGGACCACACTGGACAGGGAGCACTAGGGGCTCCTCACCCCTTACCCTCCAGGCTGATGCTAAAGACATTCCATTTCACAGCCCACAGCTCCCCAGCCTCCCTGCATTTGCACAGTGTGACATTCCCAGAGCCTGGCATTTGCTGGCTACTTGTTTGTTTTTTTCCTGTTTCTTGTGGTACTTTTAATCTCATAAATAAACTCTCAAAACAGTCCCCTCCTCACTGTCATTTAGTTTAAATCTGCAACGCTGTTACTTAATGCAGGAAGCTGCCGGTCATCCAGTTTGCCTGAAGGAGACTGCGTACGATCGCATTCAGAAATACAGCCAAAGAAAAGAAGTTACAGTTTCCTGAACGCTCCCCAGAATGACTGCTGTTCACTGGGGAAAAGCCGCCTGCCTTTGGTGAGGAGAAGGGAAGGAAAACTACACCTCCCAGCAGCCTGCCGGCACCCGGGTAAGGGCAGAGTTCACTGTCACGTTGACAGTGGAGGAGAAAGGGTGTGTGTCGGGTGCCCGGGCTGTCCGGCCACCCGCGGAGCCGAAGGGCCTCTGGGAAGGGCAAGTGGCGGGGCCAGCGCTGGCCTCCTCCTGCCGCCTCGCTGCTTCACTTCGCCGCCCTGAGCAGCTCCGAACCTGCCCGGGTAAGCATCTGACTCTGCAAACCACTTTGTTCCTCTGACTTCCTCCTTCTGCCAGAGGGAGCAGCACAGGGAAGGGAGGGACGAGAGCCGGGCGGCCGGGAGCGGCAGTTTTGCACCTTCCCACCCCACCTCCCATATCTGGTCTTTAGCAAGAAAACTAAACTGTAGAGACAGTGCGGATGGGTGAAGGTGCCCCCCGATGCTAGAAGCGCTGCTGAGAAAGCTGGGCTTGAGATTTCTGTATGGAAATCCGCACAAACCACTCCGAGTGGGGAAAGTTTCTCAGGAGTTTTCCTTGCTGCCTAGTTTTCCGCAGGTAGGCATTGCTCTTGTGAAAGCCATCCACTTTCTGAGGCTGCACTAGCAGGACAGCACGGCCATCCGGTCCCAAAGTGCTTTAGCAGAGGGGGAAATATTTCTGGGGGATGTAGGAGAGTCAGGTACCCAGCTAGGGCACTGCTGAGGTCGGGTGGGGGAGTAGCACTGCTGCACATAGGCCTGGCAGTGTCTCTGCCAGTGGCTTCATTTCCAGCACCACTGTCTCCCATTCTGCCATGCCAGAGGCAGGAAGTTAAGGTGCAGCAGGATCACTGCTCTGTGTCAACCTCGCCATGGGATATCAGGCGTCCAAAAGCACATGTGGCAGCCTGCCAAGCCCCAGGCTCTAGGCTTTCCATCTCAGAGTACGAGTCCATCCAAGTCCACCCGGGTGAGAAACCGGTGCCTCTCTCCACTGGCTTGCCCCAAGACAGCAGCCTGCTGGGAAGCAAAACACCTAATAGCTCTTGGGCTAAAGGTTTGTGTTTATCAGCAGTACCCATCTATTTTCACACCACCTTGGTAATCATGGAGGGAGTAGCCTCCTTCTTCACCATGAATCACTGCTCCTATGTTTCTGGTTATCAGGTTTATGGGCATTTAATAGCAAACATCTGAGACCTAGACAGGATGGTGTTTGAGAGGAGGGTAGGATTTGGTCAGCCACTCAAACAGCGGGGAGATACGTCTCCTTATGACCAATGGAGAAAGTGAAACAAAACGGTGCAGAAGCCAGAGCTCCAGGAAAGAAAGAAAATGGAAGAAAATCCAAGTGTGGATCTGCCTGATGGTGAGTTATATGCTTACTCCATTTACTAGGAAAATGCCTTTGCAAGAAGATTTTAACAGTGATGTGAGAAACCTAAACAAAATAAAAATAGTAAAAAGAATCCCTTCTTTTCCAGACCAAGAAAAGCAAGTTGCTATCTTTTTTTGAAGGGTGAAAGATTAACAAGTTTGTTCAATTTTGGATTCCAGTCTACAACAGGTTTAGACTCTGTGTCCAGGATGGCAGCACAAGAAAAGCTAAAGATGCAGCTACAGGCTGGGAGAGCGTTCTTCCCTGCATCCCATTGCTTCCCATCTACAGATGCTTAAACAATAGGCCAGTTTTTCACCACTTATGGTTGGAAAACCTGTGGAGGAGGCATGGCAAGGAATACTGTTTGTGCCCAGCTTGAACAGCAGTGTACCTCGATGTTCCTCCTGGTTCAGTCTCTACCATGTACTTACATTCTCCATGTGCCTTGTTACGACTACTACATATGAGTATTTCAGTGATACCATGATGCTAGAACTAGTTCAGATCTGTCCTAAGTGATCAGAAGTTTTCCCATAATAATCAGCAACAAGGAATGTGAAAGTCATGCTCCAAAGAACAGCATGTGCTGACATGACAAGTGCAGTTTTTTCTCCATTTTCAAATTAGTGGGGAGTTCCTTGCTATTTTTATCAGCCTTTATTCTAATTTTAGCATAATAATTTCTGTCATTGTAGTACTTCATCATTCATAAGCAATTTTCCACAAACTGCCTGAAATTTGAGCTGCACTCTTTGGTTTTGTAAGATTCAGAGTATGTTACAAAAACTTAAATTCAGCCTGAGAATTTCTCTATTGAATTATGGCCCACTGTTTGCTTTTAATTATATGTTACCATAGCTCTTTGGGAGAGCAGCTTCGGAACAGGAGCAGAGAAGAGGCATGCGCAGAGCTGAAATTTACAATTCAGACAGATGCTTGAAGTGCTTTGGCATATCTGTTGTGGCCAGTCCTCAACAACAACCTTAGAAATTCTTCAAATCCATTACCTTAATTTACCAACTTAGGAAAACCTCTATCTATGGAAGATGTGGTAACGTATCCTACCACATAATAAAAGAATTGCTCTCCCCAGCATGGGACATAAACTGGGATTGAGTTAACTTTGCTCACAACAGCCTGTACAGTGCTGTGTTTTGGATTTGCGGTTTAAAAAAAAATAGTGTTGATAACACAGCAGTGTTTTGGCGATTGCTGAACAATGCTGGCACGGCATCAAGGCTTTTTCCTCCCCCCTCCTGTCCCTGCACCAAGCAAATAATCTGGGGTGAGCAGAAGATTGGGTGAGGACCCAAGGTGGGCAATGGGTTATTGCATACAGTATACAAAAAACAGGGTACAGGAAGTAAAGGGAGAGAGGGTTTGAGACATTGCTCAGAGAGTGGCCTGGCATCGGTCCACTTACAGGAGGTGGTGAGTGATTGCTTTTGCATCACTTGTGGTTTCCCCTCCTTTCCTTTACTTATTCAGCTGTCTTGATCTCAACCCATGAGTTTTCTCACTTTTGGTCACCTATTCTCTCCGCCATCTCACTCGGGTAGATGTTTCTGAAATGCAAGAACTAGGAATTTTACAGAGTGGTGGTAAAGCACAGGGTATTCTTGATTCCTGTATGGCTAGCTGAGCTTCTGAACTCTGATCCTAACAGTAGGGACAGTCCAAGATGAGGTGCAGAGCACAGCAGAGCATCCTGTGCACCAAGAGCCCACCCAAGGAACACTTGAGCACAACGTGGCAAGCAGGTGGCCTGAGACCTCCTGCAAACCAGAGGAGGACTCTTCAGTTTGTAAATCACTGACTGCTGATGGAGGAGAGACAACACTGTCCGATTTAGCTGGCCCCACAGTAGAGGAGGAGGTTCACCGGGAAACTGAAATACCACTGGAACAACCTGGGAAGACAGGAGATGGTGTCTCAGAAAGATACCAGGAAAAAGATGACTTGGATGAAGGTGAGTCTCTCCCCATCCAGCATTTCCAAAAATGCATAAATGCATATATGAGTCTATATAGAGGTATCTGACCCAGCTGAACTGCTGTGTTCACTGCCTGCCTTGTGTTCATCTCTATACAGAATCATAAAATGCATTTCCAAAAATGCGGGAGGGGATTGTTGGTTCTTGTGCTGGAAAAGACTTAAGCATAGGTCTGCAAATTTTATTCCCCATAGCCTGGTTGGCCCTTGATAAAATGGACAGCAAAGAAGACAGCCCTGTCCAGCAGGAAACACAGGAGGACCAGGAGACAAGCAGGCAATGTGAAAGTTCCTACACAGCAGAGGAAGATGCTTCATCAAAAAGCAAGTCACTAAGCTCTGACAGTATAGTGACACATTTGGTTGTGACTGCCACAGAAGATGTCACAAAGGACCTCTTGTCAGAGAAGAGCACCAGTGCCCCTCTCCTAGATCAGGAGCCAGAAGAGAACATGGAGCAAGAAACACAGGAAAACGGATCCCAAGGCATGTTAAGGAACAGACGTGGGATGAAAGGTGAGCTGGTGGCTGCACAGTGCTGCTCTTTCACCATTCACATGCCTACACTTTGCATAGGCATTAGGAAAATGATAAGGTGAAATCTCTAGTGCCCATTGTCAGTTTTCCAGAGTCAAGCACGAAAGAAGGTATAAGAAATTAGCTGGCTTCTCTCTTTCTCTCTCCTTTGGCTACTGTCCTGCTTTGAAAGGCATGAAACCACACTGCATTCTGCATCATCTTTCTCCTTCCCCTACCCAAAACACAGAGTGTCAAGACTCAAAGCAGTATTAATGCAAAGCAGTATGGACTTTTAACGTTTTCCCTCAGCTGGGAGCTCCTGGCAGCTCTGTTGCTTTTCTTATTACAGCTCAATTTACCTGTTCCCTCAACAGTGAGTGGCACATTTCTTTTTCTTACTGCAGGGCACACATCCCCAAAGCCAGAAGCTCAGTCTTGCTTGCAGAATGTCACCACCCAAAACACGGACCAGGAGAAGGCCAAAAAGTCTCTCTTCCTGAAAGGTGAGGAAAAGAAGCTTCCCTTGCATGTTACTCATCGACCGGAAGGCCCTGATCCTCCAGGAACAAGTAATGAAGCACATTTAATAATTCTTTTCTCTTGGGACCTTTCACAGCCTTTTCTGAGGGTTTGAGGGAATAAACATCCCCTTAAAAACAGGTTCAGTTTGAGCCTATAGTAACAGTTTTCATCCAGTTCTGCATACTCAAAAGCAGGCACATCATATTCAGCATGCTGGCAATACCCTGCCATGCCCTGGGAGGTCTGATGCTACTGTGCTGATGGTTTCCTTCCCAGTCTCCCTCTGTGTCGTGGGGCCCCAGGCAAGAACTATGATGCTGATCTGGACCACATATTTCTCCTTGTAGAAAGAGACCCTGCTTTGCCATGGAGAGGGACACAAGCAGTTATGTCTGGACCTTGCTGCCCTTTTTGGGGCAGAAGCATGGTAGTCTTTGTTCATCCAGCACAGCTAGGTGAAAGGCAGAGAATACAACACTTTAGCTGGGTCAGACACCTCTGTAAAGAACCATAGAATCAACTATGTTGGAGAAGTCCTTTAAGATCATCAAGTCCAACCTTTACTCAAGGACTGCCAAGTCCACCACTAAACCATGTCACTATGTGCAGATAGGTGCTGTCAACAGCCACAAACCTTAAAGCAAACAGAGAAGGGGAAGAGAAGAAAGCTTGTGGCCAGCAGCAATTTCCTCAGGAAATTCTGCACTATTACAACAAAGCTGTGGCCTTGCCTCCATCTCTGGAGCTGTAGCCCAGCTGGTGGGTAGGAGCAGGGTCTCACAACATGGACAGAGCAGCCTCTTTATTCCTGGGTCCCCAGAGAACATATCAATCTGAAACACTTTCCTAGTGTAGGGGAAAAAGGTCTGAGAGGGTAAAAAAGAGCCTTCATAGCTACATTCTAGCATATCACTGCAGGTCACTTGGGACTGACTTCTGTTCCCCATCTCGGGTCTCTCACCTGTTGAACAGGGCTTATCACCGTGAGCCTCGTATTGCTTGGTCTCTGCATACTCTGCTTTGGCAACCCAACCTCCAGTTCCCAGCAAGCCCCCAAGAACCCCACGGTGGAGGCAAAAGGTCAACCAGTTGCAGGACAGGTTTCCAGGGCAGAGTTCCCACCTCTGGCTTCGCGGACGCAAGTTCCTGCAGAAGCACCTCAATGCATCTCACCACACGCAGCCAGCCATCATTATCTTCACGGCCGCCCGCAAGGGCGAGCAGACCTTGCGATGCCTTAGCACCCATGTGGCTGACACCTACTCGGCTGCCCTGCATGGCAGCACGGTCCAGATTGATGGCATGTGTAAATCCAGGCTCCAGAGTGACCAGGCCAAGCTGGAGGTGGACAGGGAGCTGAGCTCAGCTTTCCAGGCTAGAAGCCGTGCTGCAGTGATCCACCGCTTTGAGTTGCTTCCGGCAGGGGCCACTCTCATCTTCTACAAGTACTGTGACCATGAAAGTGCTGCTTTCAAGGATGTGGCCCTGCTGCTGACTGTGCTGCTGGAGGAGGAGACGCTGGAGACCCACATCAGCCTCCAGCAAGTGGAAGAGAGCGTCCGTGACTTCCTCTGGGCCAAGTTCATTGACACCAGGACCCCCAGCTCCCATGACCACATGGACTCTGACAAGCTCAGTGGGCTGTGGAGTCGCATCTCCCACCTCGTCCTACCGATCTACCCAGTGCAGACCATCGAGAAGGGCGGCTGCCATGTCCACACCAAACCCTAGAGGCAGAGTCTGCCAGAGCCCCAAGGAGGGTTGGAAGGACAGTCCTGTCAACTCTGATGCAGGCATACACAAACAGTGCTATTTCTCTTCAATTTGTTTCTCGCATCTTCCTGGAAAGAGTTTGACAGGTACAAGGTGATCCAGGCCATTTGCCAGCCGAGTCCTGGAGGTAACAGATTGCATATTTCCTTCTGGCAGATAGGAAGAGTGGGTATTTTAGACTGCTAATTGTGCAGCGGAACATTGCTGTGTGGGGAGGCAGTAGGGAAAACAGGACTTTGCAGGTAGTGTTTCAATCAGAAGATAGACAAAAAATGTACACAACTAGTATGCCAGAAGGATACTTTAGTATCTCTTTCATTTCTCCCTGCCCCTTAGTTTGCTAATGTCATGTACATTAGTCTTACAATGTACTTTATCTAGAAGGCTTCTCTCTCTTTGCAGAGTGCTTCTGAAACACAGGAAGGTCAAATTCCCCAAAGCCCAACATTTTTAAGGCATACTTCAGAAAGAAAACTCATTTGCTAGTCAGGGGTCTGACCAGTCAGTCCTGATAGGGTCACACTTGCACTGACTTACACCCAGCAAAGACCAGATCCTAAATATAGGATGTTCAAACAAGCCTGCAATTCAGAAATCCCCTAAACATCAATTACAAGAAATTTCAGAGAGCAGTGAAACAGAAACCACCTCACTGTTGCTCTGATTGCACGGGTAAAAGAATGAGTAACACAGTTTAACTTAATGCTACCTCTTTTAAAAAAAAGTCCACTCTTGATCCCTTTGCTGCCACGAGACTATGACTATCTCTTTGGGCTGATGCATCAGCTTTGGTCCTACATGATAGATTACTCTTCACCCGGGTCTCTAATCTGTGTGAGGACAGGAAGCCTGTCCCTCCCCAGCTAACCGTTATTGATGAATGCAGACATTAGTAGCATTGATAGTTATTTCAAACCACATAGGGTAGCACTCCCGGTCTTTGCCCTCCCAGGGTACATTTGCCTCCCTGACAGGTAGCTGGTGCTCTAGCATATGCTAAAGCAACTAGGAGCAGAGCTGGGATTAGCTGGTAAAGACAAAATCTCTCATGTTAACACTAAAAATCCCCAACAAAGCAGGTTGGTTTCTTACTGTGCCTCCTCTTCTGCATACCAGGAAGAGAAATCCGAGTCCTGGAGACACTGTGCTGCCCCTTCACACTGCACTTCTGCAGGTGCTCTGGGACAGAGCAGCCAACTCTGGGAACACCTCGGGGTAGATGCAGGTTGCAGCCCGGGTGTCAGACCCTCATGCCTACAGTGCTGTCTGCCAGGGAAGGAGCAGCTGTAGCAGAGCATGGCTTGTTTCCATATAAGCAGCACAGACTGAGGCCTTGCAGAGCCAGGCTCTGTATCCAAACAGGACACAAATTGAGAACACTACGGTGTTTTTACAAGCAGCACATGTGAGTGCTCCTTACAGCAACTGGACCCTGATGCTGTCCAGGTCTCCTGCCAATGGTGCCTTGCTGATGTGCCCCACTGTTGGGTCAGCTGAGGTACAACCCTGCACCCTAAACCACAGCCTGTCTCTTCTTTCCTCCTGCTGCGTGCCTTAACCTGTTTTAGGAGATTTGTGGCCACTAACTTGGAGGAGGGGACAAAATGAAGGAAGAAGAGGGGGTTATTTGTTCATGTTCTAGTCAAAGAACAGATGACTTTGTTGGCTGGGGACATGAAGACACAACCAAAGAGTTTTAACCGTGACAAACACTGGGAGCTCAGCATCAGCAGGGCAGCCCAGAGCATGACTTTGTACAAGATACAGGTTGCTTCCTCCCCTTCCTCCTTTTTATTGCTGAACACTACTTTGGTAACAGAAAATACTGTTTCTGCTCTGCATGGTTCAGTATGGGCGTTGATGTAAGAACCAGCAGAGCATTAATCATGTTATGCCAATATCTTGAGAGAAGTCTGTTATTTTAATGTTATCTCACTCTCAGTTTTATGCACTGTGTTTGTAATGCATAGCCAAGGTATGCAAGGCCAAATTCACACTGCTTGGGCACATCACTGTAAGCTTCATCCACCCGAGCTGGTCTAATACAGAGATGTTTTTATGACCTTTTAAAGACAAAATATCTGCTTGCTTCTGAAACAAGGCTTCTATTTAAAAATAAATAATGAGATTTGTGAAAGAAACCAGAAGTCTTCAAAGTGAGACTGGAGTCTTACCGTACGTATTCTGATTTTGTGGTTGGTTTGTTTGTTTGCTTGCTTGCTTTTTTGGTGGTCGTTTTTGTTGGGGTTTTTTGGGTGTTTTGCCTTTTTTTTTTCCCCTCCACTAGTTACTTGCAGTTCATTAAGGAAAGGGATCATGGTATTAGACAAAGTTTTATTTAGGTCAGGGCTATAGTTGTGCAAACAAACTGAATATTAGCTTTTTCTGGAAAAACCCCAAACAACCTTTTTCTCAGTTGTTTGGGGCAAACATTTGCAGCTAATGCAAAAAAAACCAAACCCTCAAACAGCTGCTGAATTCAACCCAGACTGGAACATACTGAGGTTTGCGTAATGCTTAATGATAATTATTAAACTAAAATCCATGGACAACTGAAATATTTTAGAAACACAGAAAGCAAATATTTCTCATTTCAACGCCCTTGATCAGATCGGTTCCACCCAGTGTCACACTATGTCAGCACACACAAATTTTTACATTTGTTGTGAATTATTTTGCCTGGCTCTGGCCTAAACAGAGAAAAGGCTGAACAAAAGAGGATTTACCCTGTTATTCTGGATTTTCTTCAGTCCCTGTCTAGGCCCTGGCAACCTAAATACTCAAAACGTTGGCATCTATTTTCACACAGATGTTCACATGATCCATTTCCAAAATTAAACATTGCTTGTCTCCTGTTGTCTGATGCAAGAGTACAAGACTTGGTCCTAGCCCAAAGATTTAGATAAAAGTCTGGTGTCATGGGGTCAAGCGATTGCTGGATGACAAACCCAAGCTACTTTTTTAGTCTTGCACATAAATTCGAAAGTGAGTGCAAAGGGACTGGCTGAAACAGCTATGAGACCATCTCCAGGCAGAAGGATGCACTAGCATTTTTCCCCTAGATGGTGTGCTCACCATGATCTGTGTTAGTAAACAGCATCATTATCCTTGTACCTGTCCCAAAAAACAGGTTGAAGCGGGAGTGGGAGTGGTACCTGTCAGGTGACACAGAGGTCATGCGGCACAAACAAAGAGCAGATACACCCCTGGCTACTCCGGAGGAACTAAAGCTCCCCCTTCCCATCAGCTCTCTAACTGACCTGTGACAGGTCAGCACAAGACCAGGATGAAGCAGGACACAGTCCAGCTCTGCAGCATCGCAGGTAAATTATTCCTCCCAGGCCTAGTTCATAATCTCTTTGGGAACATCTCGTCCTGCACATATACACATCATCCAAGCACAGCAACGTCATGGGTTTGGCTGGAGCTTATCAGTTGTCTACTGCTACATCAATGCTAAAAACAAAATTATTTTTCAATTCCTCATCTAAAAAAAGAAAAAACCCAACAACCAAACAAAATCTTACTCTACTTGGCCTATTAAACAAAGCATTCCACTCCCCAACTCTTCTTCACTTTGTTTTTTTAGCATGGCTCTCTGCAGCAGTACTTCTGCAGGGAAGGATGTGCTGCCACAGGGTGCTCAACAACCCTAAAAATCACCTTGAATATTACACCTCAACTGAGAGGCAAAACCAGTTCTGGAAGGCCAGTCTGAGCTGCACCACCACAAAATGAGCACTGATAATATGTGTGAGTGTGCCGCTGCCTTGTGATAGGACATAAACTCATCATCCCCAGCGTTCAAAGGCGAGTGGCCTAGCCAGCACTGCATGGGTTTGGCATGCCACCCTGCTCTGCATGCAGCATCCCTGTCCCTGCAACAGGCACATCATGCCACATCTCTTTTTGCCCCTTTGCACCAGCACAGACTGGAAGAAGGCAGGACATAAGGAGACAGGTAGTGAACCCAGCTGGGCCACATCTCTCCTTTGGAGCTTTAACCGGGAGCTCACCGACAGCTTAACTCTCTTGCAGCTCCATGCATGGGCAGGCTCTGTTGCCAGAGAGCTGGTTCCTCGGGGGTCACTTTTAGGCCTACGAAACCTCCTTTGTAAGAGAGATTTGCATATACTGGGAGCTTAATACTTTTTTTATTTCCCTCCTTCACCTGCGCAGGTGAAGCAGCCATACAAGAACTGCACAAAGGAGCTTGGCCTCAGCCTGTGGGACGCAGATCCAAGAGCCCGTAGGACGCGGATCTAAGAGCCTGCAATGAAAAGGCTTGAAGAATACAGCTTGCAAGTGTATTGCCTGCACAGGGAGGGGGCAAAGCCACGAGCAACCTCCCGCTGGCCTCTCCCCGCTTTGACTGGAGTGCGCAGTTCTGCTCAGGCCGAGAGAGGGCTCTGCAGATCCCTCGTGAGGGCACGCCAGAGATGAGGATCATCTCAGAGCCTGAGCAGAAGCAGCAGCGTAGTTCAGTACAAGGAATGGAAACAGCCTCCCCACACCACACATTGTTTGAGGTCTGCTTCAACCTCTGCCCCAGCAACCTGGGGACCACTCACACATCTCCGGGAAGCAGTTTCAGGTCGTGATCACTACAGAAGAGTAGACCTGGCGTCTTCCCCTACTTACAGCTTGAGCTGAATGAGGCCACTGTTCTTCCTATGTTAGCAGACCTGAACTCTTAGAGCTGGTCAGAAACAGAAGAAAGAAGGACCAGCCATTTCCCTGGTCAGAGCTTGTGTCTGCAGTGGGGAGCCTTGCACCACACAGGTTCTTCTGCACAGGGAGAGCAAAGGCCAGTTGTTTCTGCTCCAAGGCCAAGGCAGGGGCATCTGTGCTTGCAGCAAACACCAGGTAAACCAACTGAGTTACCGGGACTGGCCAAAGGGATGGACTAAAACCGCAGTGCAGTGTTCTGCAAGACTGCTGTCAAAGACAGGTTCCCT